AGTTGCAGTGCTATAAATATGGCAAAGTATTAGTATTGTGTGATAAGTACTGACAAGATGTAGGTATTAATTGTTTTCAATACCTTTGATATTAATGTAATATGTCTGACATAATGGAAAAATCTCTTGACGGAAAGAGAGTTGTAGAAAAAGATGATAGGGTTGTATACAAGGCAGCCATAAATATGGAAAGTTGTGAATCAAATTTGAAGGAAATGCTAATTATTGGGCTTGAAGACAGTGTATCCAGGGTGTCTTATAGGTCACAGGTTTTCCATCAGTCTAAGGTTTCAGAGAAAGGTTCTTGTGCTATGAGTCTATTAAAAGGAGTTGTAAATCAGGCAGGTTTAAAGGCTAAAGCTGCTTTTTTAGAAGAAAGGCAAAGGAAAGAATTAGAAGAAATTGTAATTAGACAAGAAAAAGAACTCTTGGTTATCAAGGCTCAGATAGCAGAGGCTGAAACTAGAGAACAAGCAATCAGAAATTTGGAGAGTAGAGAAAATGGTAGCAAACTATCAAGTATTGGGTCACATGTTAAGGTTTCTAGGGTAGACCCAAATGCCAATGATTTTCAACCAAAGTCGAATACTAAAGAACCAGAATGTAGATTTAAAGAAAATGGACAGGGTTCTCAGTACCATGATTCTAATCATAATTCAATGACAGAGATATCTCAAGTACCATTTAATGCTGATACAGGAAAATCTGTTGCAAACATACTGCCTGATACAAATTTAATGAATACTTTGATATCTTATAACCTTAGGAGTTTAATGCCTAAGGCAAAAGTACAAAAATTTAGTGGGGATGTAACTCAGTACAAATCTTTTATTAGATCCTTTGACAGCATTATTAGTAATAGACACGGATGATGATGAAAAGCTATTTTATCTAGAACAATACACATTTGGTAAACCAAGGGACATAGGGCTTGTGCCCACATGGCACCAGGAGAAGGTTATAAGGAAGCTAGATATCTATTGCACAGAAAATATGGTGATCAAGAAGTTATAGTGTATGAGTGTTTACCAGCACACTCGAATGCTACCTCTGGTTGGTGACAGGAAGTCGCACCAGAGGTAGTTACCCGCCAGCCGCCATTCGAGATAGGTGTCCGTAGCTCCTGTTATTTCTCTAAATAAACTTATACACGCATACCTGCGTTTGCTCTCATCACCTCCAGCTCCTACATGGCGCAGTGAGTAGGATGAGTACCGAGGATATTTCGGAGGTGCCCGTTAGCAACGAGGGCGTGGTATTTATGCAAGCAACCAGTGAAACAAAAGATGGGAGAGCTGACCATGTGCAGTCACCGGCCAGATCACTGGTGCCTCCTATAGCATTCCCTAGGCAGTTCTCACCCAGCCCTGACTTAACCCCGACCCCAGCAAGGACGGCTTGGCCAGTAGCTCAGAATCAACGGCCACCGCTCCCACCGTCAGGGCCAGGAGGAGCGACCGTTGGCATGTCGCCGTCAGCCTTTGAATCGTGGGCCGTTAGTGTGGAGGACTACGGCAACATTTGCGGATGGATGCCGCCATTGGCCGCCTCCTACGTAAGACTCCTGTGCAGCGGCGAGGTACAGCAGCGTATTGACGCTCGTGTGAACAGGCATGAATTCCGGCTACTCTCAACCACACCAGCAGTCGACACTGTAAGAAGTGTAGTGATCGGGCCTCGGTGTGTGGTCGGTGCATGGTCCGATTTTTTCACATACTTGCAAGCTCCTAGTGACACCATATGTGCATACGTATCGAAATGTCGAGCCATGGCAGGTGAGTGTAAATTCCAGTGCCCTAAGTGTCGATGCTCCTTAGATGAGTACATGTTAGGTAAGAAAGTGGTAATGGGTCTAAGCGACCGTAGCATGAAGGCAGAAGTGCTAAGGTGCATCCCCCGCCTTGATCAGTGAATGACATAATTCGTACGTGTGAGGTAATAGAGTCTGCTGAAAAAGCAGCAGGTAGGAGTGCCGTAGGTAATGTGGCAAGTGTGTTGGCTACGCAGGACCCGGTCATGAAGTCACCATCCCCCTCCCGGACCCCACACATATTGAAGTAGCAGCGTCAGGCGCATCACGTCGACCTAACGACCAGCAATCTTCACGTTACACTGGAGCCAGACGTGGTCGTAAACGCTGCAGGGGATGCGGGACAGTGACTGTCGAGGAGACCGCCAATGTCGTGCCTTTGGGGTTGTTTGCCGCTCGTGTGGACTTAAGGGGCACTTCTGGCGCCAGTGCCCAACCCTCACCCCAAAAGGCAGTGCTGTCACATCCAGTGCAGTGACAGTAGGGAGTGTGGACACATTGGCATCCTTGCCTGTTATAGTTGTCTGTGGTAACCTTTCGCGCCAGGTGCTCGACCATGGCTGTGGCAGACACTGGCGCCCAGGTGTCCATGGCAGGGCGCACATTATTGAACAATCTTGGCATCCTGCAGCACCAACTACAACCAGCACCTGTAGCAGTCAATCATGTTGCTGGGGGTGGCGTGCGTCTCCTTGGAAGCTTGATCTGCCAGCTTGTGGTGGGTCCTGTTACTACGAATGAACGCATTTTCTTTGCAAACGGGGTCGAGCGTCTCTACCTGTCTCTCGGAGCATGCAAGTCGTTATGTCTAGTACCGCCTGAGTTCCCATGCCACTCAGTATCCATCTGTTCGGTAGCACCCCTAGACATCCCACAGGTCCCCACGTCCAGAGGAGCCACCTTACGAGCTGGTAGAAGAGAATGTGGACCGTCTAGAGAAATGGTTCCTAGAACACTTTGGGCGCACGGTATTTGCTGTGGGACGTGCACCCCTCCAGAAATGCAAGGTCCGCCACATCACATCCACCTGCGTCCAGACGCACGCCCACATGCAGTCCATGTCCCAGCTACAGTGCCACACCACTTCTACGATGAAGTGCGACAACAGTTAGATGATGATATCAAAAAGGGAATCATTGAAGCAGTACCTGCTGGTGAACCAACTGAATGGTGTTCACGAATGGTGGTTGTACCCAAGAAGGACGGAAGACCCGTAGGACAGTCGATTTCCAGCGGCTCAATCGGGCGAGCATGAGAGAAACACACCACACAAGGCCCCCTTTGACCTCATCACTAGTGTGCCAAAGCATACCTTCAAGACTGTAGCTGACGCATACTCTGGGTACCATCAAATACCACTTGACAAGGAGAGCCGCAAATTAACAACATTCATCACCCATGGGGTCGATTCAGATACTGTAGAACTCCATGGGACATTGTGCTGCACAGGATGCATTTACTAAACGCCTCGATGACATAATCAGCACTGTGCCAGAAAGATGAAGTGTGTTGATGATACGCTGTTGTACGACGGGAGTATTGCTGAGGCATTCTGGCACACATGACTTCCTGCTAAAGTGCATGGAGAATGGTGTAACCCTGAGACCAGACAAATTTCACTTCTGCAAAAGAAGCGTTACATTCGCTGGGTACGTTCTTGATTGGGAAGAATACCAACCCAGCAAGGACCTCGTCAGGAGCATTATGGAGTTCACAATGCCTACCCGGCCCACTTTAACCGATGTCCGTGCATGGTTTGGTTTGGTCAACCAAGTGGCACCATCCTGGCAGTGGCCCCCATCATGGAGCCCTTTAGAGAGCTCCTAAAGAAGCCAGTAGCGAAGTCGGTGTACTGGGACGAACAGCTGCAAGCCATATTTTCATCGGCAAAGGATACCATTGGACAGCTGGCTGCTGCAGGGTTACGCTACTATGACGTCTCACGTCCAACGGCCGCATTCACTGACTACAGTCGCCAGGGTATTGGATTTCTTGTCATGCAACAGTACTGCCAGTGTATATCTCAGGAGTCACCGCTGTGCTGCACAGGCGGGTGGAAACTAGTGTTGTGTGGTAGCAGGCACCTAACGGCTGCAGAAAAAAACTACAGTACCCTTAATGGGAAGCCCTTGCTATCGCATGGTGCCTCAAGAAGCGCCCTCTTTCTACTGGGCTGTAGGAACCTCACATTCATCACCGACCACAAAGCTCTCACCAGAATTTTTGGTGATAAGGAACTAAAGGACATCAACAACCCTCGTATTTTGAACCTTAAAGAGAGGACGCTCATGTACTCCTTCCGTATCAAATACCTGAAAGGCAAGACGAACTGTGCAGCAGATGCATTGTCTCGGTACCCAATGCTGTTGGGCCACCCAGAGGAGTCCGATGAAGCCGATGATGAACTGGTGTGTGCAACCATAGTAGCAGCTGCATCAGAAGCAGTTGAAGGTGATGGAGGGCGTGTTGTGGACATCCAACAGGTCGAAGAGGAAGCAGCCAAGGATGAAGAATACCGGTTGCTACATGTGTGTCCAACGAGGGCTGGACTGACCGCAAGGACATGGAGCCGCTTGCTCTACGGCCATATTTCAGGATGCGTCGTCACTTGTCATGCCAAGGAAATCTTATCTTGTACACCAATGATGAGAAACAACCACGTCTGGTTATCCCCATGGCCCTCAGACGTACTGTGCTCACTAATCTCCACAGGTCATCAGGGTAGAGACTCTATGCTCCGCAGAGCACGCCAGTCAGTCTACTGGCCTGGCATTGATGCTGAAGTGGAACAGAAGCGGCCCAGTGCCAGGTATGTGAGACATGTGCCCCTTCCAACCCAGCAGAAACGCTCATGCCAACACCATCCCCCCAGTACCCATTTCAGCAGGTCGTAGCAGACCTGTTCCAGCTCAACGGCCAGAACTACATTGCCTACGCCGATAGATTGACAGGTTGGTTGGAAGTGGAACATCTACCAGGGGACACCACAAGTGCACGTCTCATAGTTGTCTTCAGGAGGTGGTTCAGGCGATTTGGAATCCCAGAGGAGCTGTCATGTGATGGGGGTACAAATCTTATCAGCCAAGAATCAAAGGAGTTTTTTCGATGCATGGTGTGTGCGGCTAAGAATTTCGTCGGCTCACTATCCCCAGTCCAACGGACGTGCAGAAGTGGCTGTCAAATCCGTTAAGGATATTACGAGGCAACACTTCGATGAATGGATCTCTGGACACTGATGCCGCCGCTAAAGCCCTCATGCAATACCTCAACACCCCTCTACAGAACTCTAATGCTTCTCCAGCCCAGCTGCTGACTGGGCGTCAGTTAAGAGATGCCATCCCAGTAGACAGCTCGAATTATAGGGTCAGCGAGCAGTGGTCTCGGTTACTGAGGAGCCGTGAACGAGCCTTGCAACAATTGGGAAAAAATGCCTCATTAAGACACAACGTGTCAGCCCATGACCTCACGCCATTGAACCAGGAAAACGCGCCCGTATCCAGAACCCCAGCAGCAGGCGTTGGGACCGGTTGGGCACCATTGTAGAGCTGACAGCACCTCGACAGTATTTGGTAAGGCTTGATGGCAGTGGAAGAGCCACCATAAGAAACAGACGGCACCTCCGTCCTCTCATGAGTGAAACCCAGGCCCAATCACAAGACGGAGGAAGCAGTAATCCAGTACCCCCTTCCACCGCTGCAAGACCGAGACGCGTCAGACGTGCCCCGCAACATTTGAATGATTATATAGTTTATAATGTCACGGAATGAGGAACTACTCAGGAATCTTTTTCTTTCTTTTGTATGTGTAAAACACATGGATATTTTGTTCAATTTTATATTGCCTCTGTTTACTCTCACCACCGTATATGTTCATTACACAAGCTTAAATGACTGTTATTAAATCCTTTTTGTACTCTTATTTTTTGTACGTGTAAAACACGAGCATTTTGTTCAATTTTATATTGCCTCTGTTTACTCTCACCGCCGTATATGTTCATTACACAAGCTTAAATGACTGCCTGTGTAATTAGGGGGGAAGTGTAAGAGTGTTTACCAGCACACTCGAATGCTACCTCTGGTTGGTGACATGAAGTCGCACCAGAGGTAGTTACCCGCTAGCCGCCATTCGAGATAGGTGTCCGTAGCTCCTGTTATTTCTCTAAATAAACTTATACACACATACCTGCGTTTGCTCTCATCACCTCCAGCTTATGTGGATAAAATCTTGGGGTTGCCAAGGTTGAGGGATGATGTTGAAGGGTTTGATCAGTTCTACATCACACTTATAGGCTGTCGTAATGCTTTGTCTGGAGGCCTTCAAGGAGCTAAGGAAATCGAGCACCCAAGGACTATGAGGAAAATTGTGGAGAAGTTACCATTAGCTATGCAGGAGAGATGGCGACGTGCTGTATATTCAATATTGGAATATGGAGGCAGAGCTTCTACATTTAATAATTTGGTAGATTTCATAAAAAAGGAGGTTAATATAATGTCTCATATATTCCAATATATTTCTCTGCCACCAGTTTACATATTAGAGAAAATGCCAGTATCAGTAGATGATATAATAAGGAAAGATTTAAAAGGGCCATATTTGACATGCATAGATCTACCAGACTATGATGTGGATATAGGATTAATGATAGGAAATAATGTCCCAAAACCAATGTAACCATGGGAAATAATACAGTCAAGAAGAAAGTGGACCATATGCTTTGAAGACAAGACTGGGATGGATAGTTCATAGATCTTTAAAAGATATAAGGTCTTTCCATATTCGTATTAATCGAGTGAAAGTAGATGAGGTTAGCTTAGATCACATGTTGGTTAACATGTATAATCAAGAATTTAAAGATGTAAATTCTTCTATGAAAGGATATTCTGAGGAAGATAAAGAATGGAAGAAGGTTGAGAAAAGTTGTAAAAGGATTAAGGGACATTTTGAGATTGGATTGCCATTTAGAAATGAAGTCCCCATGCTACCAAATAATTGAATTTATGCAGAAAAAAGACTAGAAGGTCTAAAAAGGAAACTTTTACGGGACAAGTTATTTTATAACGATTATTGTGCTTTCATGACAGACATAATAGAAAAAAGGTTATGCAGAGAGAGTTCCACAGGCAAGGGACAATGAAGATAAAGTTGTTTGGTATATTCCTCATCATGGTGTATACCATCATCAGAAAACAGACCAGTTACGTATTGTATTTGACTGTGCAGCCAATTATAAAAATAAATCCCTTAATAGTTCACTTCTTCAAGGTCCTGATTTGACCAACCCGTTAGTCCAAATATTACTTAGGTTCCGTCAAGGTCATTTTGCATTCATTGGAGATATCAAATCAATGTTTTATCAAGTTGGTGTTCCAGAAAAGGATAGGGATTACTTAAGGTTCTTGTAGTGGCCAGATGGAAATCTCAAACAGGTTGTAAATGAGTATCGCATGACTGTTCACCCATTTGGAGCTAAGTCCTCTCCTAGTTGTTCTAATTTTGCTCTGCAGAGAACAGCAAATGAATTTGGAAGTGAATATTTTCCAGAAGTTCAAAAGACCATATTTAGTAATTTTTATGTTGGTCTCAAGTCAATGGATATAGAAGATGATTTGGTAAAAACGGCACATGAAATTGTCACTGTGTTCAAAGGGTGTTTTTGATTTAACTAAATTCATAAGCAACAGTAGGAAGCTTTTGGAATCTTTACCCATGAAGCAGAAGAGAAAGAATGTAAAGGAGCTTGATTCATGCCGTGATTCATTACCAATGGAAAAGGCACTTGGAATATGTTGGCATATTGAAAAAGATAGCCTAACTATATCGGTGAAAGAAAGGGATAAGGCATTGACTAAAAGAATTTTGGTCAACTATTGGGGCAATGTATGATCCATTAGGTATTGTCTCACCATTTCTATTGAAGGATAGGTTGATTATGCAAGAGTTATGTAGATTAAATTTAAGATGGGATGAACTTCCAGCTCATTACCAAGATGAGTGGAAGACATGGAAAAATCTATTACCAAATTTGAGTAGGATGTCTTTGGAGAGGTGCATAAAGCCTATGGAATTTGGACATATTGTATCTTGTCAACTACATCCTTTTGCAGATGCTAGTGAAAAGGGTAAAAAAAATGTTTTAGGGAAGCCAAATGATAGTGTTCAGTACAGGACTTTTCTTAGTGTAAAAGAATTAGAAGATGCAGAAAAGGCAGTTATTAGATCGGTTCAACAGGAATGATTTCATGAAGAGATAAGTACATTAAAGAAGGGAAGGCAAGTGAAAAGAATAGTTCTTTAATTAAGCTGAATCCAATTTTATGTAATGAAATGATGCATGTTGGTAGCAGGCTTACAAGGGCTCCATTAAGATATGATAACAAGCCCCCATTTATTTTACCAAGTAAACACCATATTACAGATATGATCATCAGAGATTGTCATGAGAGAGTTGGTCACCAAGGGCGTGAACATGTCTTGAGTTCACTTAGAGAACATTATGGATAGTTAAGGGTAATAGTGCTGTGCGTAGAGTTAACAAGGGTTGTAATAAGTGTCGCAAGTACCAGGCTCCCATAGTACAACAACAGATGGGAGAACCTCCAGAAGGTAGGATCTCTGCCAACCTTTCACTACAACTGGTGTAGATTGTTTTGGTCCATTTTATACCAGGAAGGCAAGATCTCAGGTGAAACGTTATGGTGTAATATTTACATGCTTAACTATAAGAGCAGTACACACAGAAATTGCAGAATCATTGTCCACAGACTCAATTATTAAAGCTCTAAGAAGATTCATAGCTAGACGAGGGCAAGTGAAATCTTTGTATTGTGATAGAGGCCCGAACTTTGTTGGAGCAGAGAGAGAATTGAAGGAAGGAATGGAGGAATGGAACCAGTCTCGCATTAGTGAGACCCTTTTGCTGGCTAATATAGAATGGAATTTTAATCCGCCTCATGCATTTCATTTTGATGGTGTTTGGGAAAGACAAATCAGAACCATTAGGAAAGTTTTGAATGGAGTTATGAAAGAGCAAGTATTGAATGATGAGGGTTTAAATACCCTGATGTGTGAAGTTGAAGCTGTTATTAATAGTAGACCTCTATCTACTGTTTCAAGCGACTACCATGATTTAAGACCCATAACACCTAATCATCTCCTTACATTGAAGGAAGGTCCATTGTGTGTTAAAGAATTGGACGCAAATGAAGTGTACAGTAAGCGAAGATAGCGTCATATTCAGTATATGGTTGACTTATTCTGGAAGAGGTGGAAACAGGAGTACTTACTAACTCTATAGGAAAGACAAAAGTGTTTTAAGAAAAACAGAAATTTAACTGTAGGAGATATTGTAATGTTGGTCGAAGAAAATTCCCCCAGGTGTCATTGGCCATTAGGTCGTGTCATTCCTGTTAAACAGAGTGGTGATGGGTTAGTAAGAAGTGTTACTGTCAAGTGTGGAAAATCTTTTATGACTAGACCTATATCGAAATTAATTCTATTATGTGAAAATGATGGTATTTGATTTAAAGGATTTATATGTAAGACTATGAAATGTTATATAAATGACCGTTGTTATTAAGATGAGTAATTATCTAAGGACTATTTAGTGAATTTTTTACAAATAGGATATGATTTTGAAATGCAAGCACACTAGTAATTTTGTTGAATCTCTATGAAGATTCAAAGGGTTAGGTGTAAACGCTAACAGAAGTATAGCGTTTGTTTTCTGATATTTTGTGAATTGTACAGTAAAGAACTTTTGGCACACTGCATGTAAGTACGTTGCATATATGCATCTGGAAATTAAGTAACGATTTTAGTTTTTTGTATTTGATTTTAAAGCAATGTTTTGTATAACATTATGACAGGAGGCTTATTGTATATTTTTGCTATGGAAATTTATAATATGTGAAAACTCAGTTATGTAGTATTGAAAAAGAATTTTAAGTAAATATTGTCTGATTGTTACAGAAACAAGTTAACCTGTACTGTAAGCTGTGAAGGAATGATAGAAATAAAGGACAGCTGCAACAGGGAGTTTCAAATAATCCTATAGACTATTGGAAGGGCAGTAAGGGCGCCTAATATATATATATATATATATATATATATATATATATATATATATATATATATATATATATATATATATATATATATATATATATATATATGCGCGCGCTCGCGCATGTG